TCACATAGATCGGTACTCTGCCTCGGCGGAGCTCAGGAATATGGAAGTTTGTTTCTTAGATTTCCACGAGATCGGAGAATAACCAAGAGAGATGTAAAATCCACTCACCGATCTCCGTGAATCCGGGCAAGTCGCCCAATCCGAGTCACATAAAGCCAGTAACTGAAATAAAGGTGAAAATCTCATGAAAAGCCCCAATCCAAGGTCCCTTAGGAGATAGCGAAGCACACGAAGTGCTGCATCTAGATGTGGTTGCCGGGGATCCTGCATGTATTGACTTAGATATTGCACAGTGAATGACAAATCTGGCCGAGTATGGGTAAGATAATTCATTTTTCCTAAAAGATGTCTAAAAAAGGTGGGATCTTTGATTGCATCTCCTGTTTTTGCTTGCAGACGCACTGTTGGATCAAGTGGAGAGGAAAGGGGAGTCAAATGCATAGAATTGAACTCCTGAAGCAGATCCAAGATGAATTTCCTCTGTGAGAGTATCAACACCTGGGGTTCTCGAATAACCTCCATTCCCAGGAAAAAAATGTAAGCTCCCAAGATCTTTAATCTTAAATTCCCGATGAAGAAAGTCCTTTAAAGCACTCAACTCTGTTGTAAAATGTCAGTAAAATGTTGTCGACATAGACTGCTACAATAGAAATAGATGAATCTGTTTTTTTAAAGAAAAGGGAGTAGTCGTTTAATGAATGAGTGAATCCCTTAAAATTGAGGGCAGGGGTAAGATTGGCATACCATTGCCTTGAAGCTTGACGAAGTCCATAAAGTGACTTCTTCAACTTGCAAACATGGGTAGAAGAAGGTGGAATAACCCCTGCTGGAAATCTCATGCAGACTTCCTCATTCAAGTCTCCATGTAAAAAAGCATTATTTATGTCTAACTGATATAGACCCTAGCCCTTCTTCACTGCAGTAGCTAAGATGTACCTAATGGTGGTCATCTTAACTACAAGTGAAAAATTTTCAGTAAAATCTATGCCTTCCTGTTGTATATCTCCCCTGATCACAAGCCTTGCTTTCAATCGCTCTAAACTCCCATCAGAATGCTGTATTACCTTGTAAATCCACTTACATGATAAAGCTTTCTGCCATGTGGCTGTAAAGCCTCAATTTCCTTTACCATTGCTTCCTGCCAACCTGGATGATATGATGCATGTCTAATAGGTTCTTGAATGTTAGATAGGGAGTTGAGCATAAGTTGATTAGTAGTGGATAGTCTACTGAAAGGAAAAGAATCTGGTGTGATAGTGGTAAGAAAACAGGAATTACTGACATCTGTTAGCTGGAGTGCATTGCATATGTAGTCTTTTAAATAGGAAGGTCAAAGGTGGGTTATGGGGGTCTGGTAGACTTTCTGATAAGTGTTTCCATCATAGGTTCAGCATTTAGAGAAGGAAAAATAAGGGAAGCAATGCTGGAGTTTGGTGTTCCGGTAGATGGTGAAGAGGGAAATGATATAGGTTCAGGGGTAGTGAACTGGGTGGTGGCAGGATACTGTGTGTTTGCAGCTGGAGTAATAGGAGTGGGAGATGAAGTAGGAAATGAGGAAATATGGGGGGGAGAAAATCATAAATGGGTGTAGGTGTATTTGCCGGTGTAGAATGAGAAAAAAGAAGATCAATGGGTTTAGTGGAACTTATGGAAGAAAAAGGAAAGCACTCCTCATGAAATACAACATCTCTAAAAACAAAAGTTTTAAGAGTTTTAAGATCAAGTACTTTATAACCTTTCTTATTGTGTGGATACCCCCAAAACACACAAGCTACCGCCCTAGGATCAAATTTTGTTCTGTGGTTTGGAGAAGTAGAGGCAAAACACAAGCAACCAAAACATCTAAGATTAGAATACTTAGGCTTGCACTTGAACAGAATCTCATAATGTGTCTTAAAATGCAGAATTCTAGAGGAAAATTTGTTGATAAGATAAGTTGCTGTAAGAGGACAATTTCCCCAATAGGAAATGGGCAAATGTGATTGATATAACAAGGCCCTAGATGTTTCCAGTAGATGCCTGTGCTTTCGCTCCACGGCCCCATTTTGTTGTGGAGTATACACACAAGTGTTTTGATGAAGAATCTCTTGTGAAGAAAAAAAACTGATTGAACAATCCCATTCCCCAATTCAAAAGCAGTGTCTGTTCTTAAAATTTTGACTTTAGAATGAAACGACCTCTCTACCATAGCTAGGTAGGATTTTACGATTGTAAAAGCATTAGATTTGGTACTTAGCAAATAAGTCCAAGTGGCTCTCTAAAATCATCAACAATGGTTAGAAAGTATTTGTATCCATCATACGTTGGACAACTATATGGTCCCCAAGTATCTACATAAATTAAATCAAACACTGCTCTAGTAGAGATAGAGCTTGAAGGGAAAGGGAGTTTAGATTGTCTTGCCATTTGACAAATAACACAAGGAATTGAAAATTTTGAACATGAAGAAGCAGAAATAGATAAAATATTCTTCATATTACTCAATGTCATATGGCCTAGTCTATAGTGCCATAGCTTCTCTTTTACATTGGAATCAAAAAAAGTGAAACAAGATCCTAAAACTGGAATGGAAGCAGACTTCCTTTTGGAAACAAAATTACTTCTAGACTTAGACAAACTACTGGAAACTGCTGATGTCTGTCTTGATTTCAGAATGTAGAGTCCTCCCTCCTCTTTACCAATCTCCATAGGGCTCTTCATTGAAGAGCCCTGCAGTAGAAAACAAGAAAAAGGAGTGAAAAGAACATATTGCTTGAAGGTTGAAATTGAAAGCAGTAATGGAGGTTCTCTAATAGTGCTCGAAGGTTCTCCAACAAAGACTGAAGAGCGAGTTTGAGACTTAGGTTAGGCAAAAGTGAAATGGAACCTGAATGAGTAACTCTAAATCTGTAAGAATTAGGTAAATTTACCATAACAGGTTTTGGCAAGGCTTTAAATTGTATGAAAGATTGTTTGTCAAGAGTCATATGCTGAGTGGCTCCACTATCTAAGATTCATTAATCGCTATTAATATTAATGAAATAAGCATAAGTGTTGATAAACTTTGTTATACCAGCACAACTGAGGTTTGTTGAAGCATCAGAGGTACCAGCTCCTTGTTGGCCCATTTTCACCTGTTGAAGGATTTGGAGTAATTCTGCTACATTTTCCTTGGTAAGTGTCTGGGCACCTGCCACATTTGATCCCTCTTGTTCATCTTCTTCAGTTGCATTAAAGGCATTATTTGCATGTATACCTCCCTGATACTTTTTCCAGTTGCATAGTTAGCTGCAATAAAGGAAGCAGAAACTCCTGGATGGACAGTAGGAGCATGAATCTCTTTGTTTTTGATCTTGAATCACAAGAGATTAGGCCGGACCAATAGATGGTAAAGGTGAAGACAATAAGATATTACTCGTAGCACCTATGAAACAATCATTCAAACCCATTAGGAACTGTAAGAGTCTCTCATCCCGATGCGCCTGCCTTAGCTCCACATTCACAATCACAAACACAAGCAGAAAAGGTATTTAGTGCATTAAGCTCATCCCACAAGCTTTTCATTTTAGTAGTAGGTTGACACACTAGAATTACCTTGCACCACTGCACTAAGTTCCCTTTGCAGCTGAAACAATTTGGCTCCATTAGTTTGACCAAATCTATCTTCCAGGTCAAGGTCCTTATCATTTTGAGAGTACAAAACATTTACAGCTATCTCCTTGGACAGAGAATTCAGCAGCCATATCTGCTTATATTCTTTGTAAAGCTACGTTGCCCAAGCATGCATAACTCATATTAATAATATTGTCATATTGATAATCATTTCGTTTTTATGTCCGTTTGCTATGAACCATTCCCATGGAAATAGTGTCAATTATTTTTCTTCGTTTCGTATAGCAAACATGAGATGGCTCGAAAATTTTGTTGTTGCGACTTTCGCAGAGATTACTTTACAATCTATGTTTTGAACTTATGTTACTGTAAAGAACAATTACCTTCAAATTTTGGTTTAGTAAAGTAAAATACCAAATGAAGGTTTTCTGAGTAAATTTCATGGGTGGCTATTCAATTTTGTGTTCATTACCCAAAAGTCATTTTTATTTCTTTTGTTAAATAAAAGTCATTCAACTTTGTGTTCATTAATTACACAAAAGTAACTTTTCTTTCTTTTGTTGCACAAAAATTATTTTACTATGCTCTAGTTATCACAATAATCACTTTGACCAGATTTTACAAACCTTTCACCTGAAAAGTCTATTACACCCTTGACATTATAAATCCTCTCATTTTTGTAATACCTATATTATATTCTATATAATATACTTTTACCCAGTTATTTTACTTGTAAGTAAAATAACTTAATATTATTTTATTTATTATTTTTATAATATATTCATACATTTAATTTTTTTTCTTAATATTAATTTTCAAGATATATAAGTAGCATTATTAAATTTGTTACTGTGAACAAACCTCAAGTCCACGTTCTTAATCATGCTTAATAAAATATGTTTAATAAAAATTAAAAAATTAAAGCTCATTGATTTATCAGCCAAGTAATATCCATTAATTAATAAATAAAATACCCACATTTAGCAAAATGATACATCAGATTAATACTTTCAAATAAATAATAGTAACAAATAAAGTTTTAAAAACTTAATATTAAAAACAAATATATTTGAAACTTTTAAAGAAAATTATTGACTATAAAAAACTATCATTTGTTAAACAAATCTATTTTTATTATTATAAATAAATATTAAAAAATAAATAATTTTTTATCATTTTTATATTTAAAATATGTTCATGTTTGAATGTGATTAAACAATTGAGTGCCATGGAAAAATTAAATGTATGGATATATTATAAAAATAATAAATAATATAGTTTAAAGTTATTTTAATTATAAGTAAAATACCTAGGTAAAAATATATTGTATAGTATATAATATAGAAGATATTACATAAATGAGAGGATTTATAATGTCAAGGACATAATAGACTTTTAAAATCTAGCCAATGTGACTTTTGTGATAAAATAGAGCACAGTAAAATAATTTTTGTGTAACAAAAGAAAAGTAATTTTTGGGTAATGAATACAAAATTGAATAATTTTTTTGTAACAAAAATAAGAAAAGTGACTTTTGCGTAATGGACATAAAATTGAATGACCACCCATGAAATTTACTCGATTTCCCTCCTACCTTAAAGTGAACTTTTTTCTCCAATTTGTCTAGTTTGGTAGTCCTCCAATCTTATTTATAGGCATACAAACCTTCCTTACGATGTTATTATATGTGATGACCCAAAAGGGGGCATTTGCATCTATACTCGCTTTTTGTGTCATATTTTAACTTGTGTCCGCTTTGCAAAAAAAATTGCAAGCGTACCCGCTTTTTTACATAACTTCAGCACACGGGGCTGAAATAGCAAAGGCAATCACGCAAAACTTCAGCATTCTAGTAGCCGGGTCTGAAGTTCAGCTCTAGAGCTGAAATTTTTGTGTTGTAACTGGGAAACATCAGCTCTAGAGTTGAAGTT